AACTCACCCGAACGTGAGAATTCTATCGTGTCCTACACGACACCCAGATAATATAGTAACAGATCCACATTTGGACTTCACTTTTCGTTTGCTCCTACATCCACCTATGGATCCAACTTACCCCACATAGATCTTTAATCGGCCTCTTGCCATACACAAGGTTATGTAAACCCTGTCCTTCGATCTGCAACCTCCTTGCAGATTCATCAACCCTCATCCACACCAATGACCAGCTCATCAGTGGGGATCCAGATCTCACGATTCTTCATGAGACCGCATTACAACAAACCGGTTATGGTTGGTGCAGTCTCCCAGGAACTCATCAAGCAAGGCGCCGCAGTTGAGATCTGCTTCATATACCCAAGGCGGATCCTCATATCCGCGCCAGTGTACCTGGAACTCCCGATAGATCCGTCCATACCTTGTCCTTTTACCAGTCCTCATATCAGAAATTTAGTCTACTTCATATTCATCGGGGTCTCGATCTTGAATCCAACTGCATAATCGAAATCAACCCGATCTGCACTCGACTCCTCTAGGCGAGCTGCAGGTAGATCTGGAAAAATCCTGACCGTTTTGAACTTCGAGACGCGCACCATTGTGGCGAAGCGGGATCTGCGAAAATCACGTTTGCGCACGTCTCGATACCACTGGCGCCCGGACACTGACTAACGAAGGGGGTCCTCCGATGATCCGGAATCTGGTTATGTTCCTGCTTACCTTGTGTACCCGACGGCGGGCGGGTTACGCTCTCCTGGGTGACTCGTATGACGTCGATCGGCCAAGATGGATACGCAGGGGCTTGAGATAGCGTGGAACTTCTTCACTCTACCTCGAATCTGTTGATCTTGATCGCATGCGCGCCCTCGAGCCGCGATCAAGCTGCCTGGTTGTCGATCCAGGTCTTCTGGGTGTCCAATGTCGGAGATCTTGCTCCTTCCTTGTGTATGTTTGCCGCTTCGTATAGCGAGGAACTTTTGGGTCGGGATCCGATGCGATCAGTCCAAGCAATCAATGCCTTCCGATCAACAGTAAACACTTGACGACAAGTCGCTAGGTAGGGCAAAGCTGGCCAATATATTATCCAGGCTTAACCGCTACGCTAGTTCCTACGTCCTTGCCGTCTGCGCACTTGGGGGTCAATCTAATCCCCGATTCGAGGCGAGAGAAGACACTTGTGTAGCTTAGAGCAAATTCGTCTGTTTACGTTTATCCCTATATCTATTAACTCATCATCAGCTGCTTTCCTACGATCACCTGACATCTGGATACCTACCTCATCCTGAGATCTGTCGATCGGCGATCTCGATCCGCAATCCCGATCAGCGATCTCGATCGTGGCCTAGACCCGCAATCACGATCGTGGTCTTGAGCCGTCTCCCGTTCGTCGTCGCGCGGTGATCTTCATCGTCGCTGGTCACTTCGGGGGCACGACTGCTGCCTCTCGACGGGCCCGTCCCGCTTCCTTCCTACGATCCTGGATCACTATCTTGCCTTGACCTGGGATCGCCTTCATCTCGCGTATCTTGATCTGTGATAAGCGCGACTCCAATGTTGCCATCCCCCTTCGATCGCTATCTGCTGACCCGCCACAGCCCCGGATCGCAGGTCGACAGCGACTCATGTCCTCCAATTCTCTATGATCCTGCATGTCCCAGACCGCGGCACGGCATGGGTATGTCGCCATCCATCATTCCAGGGGTCAATCGTGGGCCATCCGAAGTCAACATCACTCACCGGCGTTGTCGCACGCTGGATCTTGGAGAGGTGACTTGATGCCTTGGCTGGAGTGGGATTTCTGTCGCCTGGTCCGTCTCTATCTCGCGATCTGGCAGCCGAGGTTGCCTTTCTCGTGAGATCTTGTTCGCGCTTCACCACGTACCACCGGAAAGATGCTATACGTAGATACTGCAGTCTCCTACCTCACTGCATATTCCCCCATCTTCTCGGCGACGCGAAATGGCCCATGCCATAAGTATGCCAGTTTCTTAGCATATTTTTCACGCGACTCGATCCAAGTACAACCAAAATCTTGATCCAGACTCCACAGGATGTGGGCGTACTAGATCATTATGTGTGTCGGCTCGGTCCGCGATCGTAAACGTTGGTTGACCTGTTCTCGAGCCTGTTGGTAGTACTTTTGCATCCGATATCGCCACCTTCTTGGATCTCGGTCGTGCCTGAGAGTGCTCCCCATCGGGATCACCGCTTCCAGAGTAGGTATAGGATCCCAGCCATGTATCATGTAGAAAGAGGTTTCACCCCGGATCCGGTCCCTTGCGGTGTTGATCGCGAAGGTAGCCGTTCGGCATATTCATCCCCATCACGTTGATCCAAATCCTACACATACATTTTAAGAGCTCTGGTGGTCGTCTGGACTCTACGCTCTGCGGATCCATTGGCTTGGGGTCGATAAGCCATAGTAGCACGTTGCCGTTGATCTAAGATTTTGATGAAGGACTTGAAGAAGTCGGACATGAAACCTGGCTCTTGATCATGCCAGGTCACCTCGCTCGCACCAAATCTGCGGAAGACGCATTCTTCGTAAGTCTCAGCGATCGTCTGCGCAGATCTAGAGGCGTTGGCCTTGGCGATCACATATCCCGAGAATAGATGTACGAATATCAGCAACTCTGTGTTACCATTCCAAGATCTAGGCAGCGAAGGTATGTGATCCATGGCAATGATCTGGAACGGGTATGTTGCCTGCAGGTTACCAGGTGACTCACCCGGGATCCGAGACCGTCCTTTGCCTGTTTCGCAATCGACACATTCTCCCACATATCGCTGTACGCGCTTATATAGGCCTCTCCAGTGGGAAGGATCGCGGATCCAATCATAGGGTCGACCTATTCCTTGATGGCCACCCTGCAGACTCGTGTGATAGTGATGAAAAATATCTTGTTGAAGCGTCTCAGGCACCACCAATTGCATCAGCTTGTCTCGATCCGCAGTGGCCTCCTTTGTTGTCGGGTGGTAAAAGAGTAGATCGGACTGATCCACTTCATAATTCGTGGTAAAAGATCCAAACACCTTAGCTTTTTCTTGTATCAGATCTGGGATCTTCCCAACCAAATACTTCTTCAGTCCTGCGATCCAAGACTCCTCATCTTGTGCTTGCCAGGTCCGCTCGATCCGCAGTTCTCTCCCAAGTTTCTCACGCAATGAACCTGGATCAGATCCCATGCGCACTCCAAATCTAGCCTTAGAAAAGGTCGTTACCGCAGATATCTGTGCGATTTCGTCTTCGGTCTTCACTGCCAGGATTTCGACCAACCGGTTCAAGGTCACTAGATCCTGGATCTCTTTCCAGACTCAACATCTATCCCGCATTGTCGTTGCAGAGCAGCACTTGTTAAGCTGTCAGTACTCCCATTCCAATCCCCTTTATCATGGAACAGCTCGTGATCCGGCCAAGTATATAGTCGATCCAAAGCCCGCTGACGTAACAGTGTCAAATCCGGTCCATTACAATCAATCTCACTTCGTACTTGTCGGATCACCAGGTTCGAGTCTCCGCAGATCACCAGACGTCGTGGATCCAGATTTTCCAACATAGCAACAATCCATGGTATTCCGCCTCGTTCGTTGTCAAACCTTCGGCGTATCCAGATCTAGCCTTCAACACCCTCCATTCAGGCAGCTCCCACAAGATCGCCCTGTAGGCGCCTCCACCTCCCTTGACACGAGCTGATACGTCGAAGCTAACGACGTATAGATCCTCATCGCGTCCAATAGTGGGGATCGGAGCCTGGAGTTTACGTTTTGCCTCCTTTTTTGGGACAATCGAGATTAACGCATTATCTACCTTTGAGCTAGGTGTGATATTCGCCGCCAATGCTCCCAGGATCTCATCTTCGCCCTTGACGCACTTGGTGATCTCGAGAGTCCATGGCGACAGCCACTGACCTAACCGCCACAGCAAGGCTGTGGATCTGAAAAGCCACACCAGAGTGGAATGTCGGGTCAACACACGGATCAGACGTCCGACCAAGGCATTGTAGTTGAGATCTAGGATCCGCAGCAAGGCCAATACATCCTTCTCCGAGATGCCATAATTCAGCTCTTTTGACGTCAAGGTACGGCTTGCAAACATCACGGGGCAGTAGACCTTGTCATATTCCTGCATCAACGATCCTGAGACGGTCCAGTCACTGCCATACACCACAACCGTAGCCCTTCGATCCGGATCAAAGTGCCGCAAGATCGGAGTAGTGGTGATCTTGGATTTAAGCACCCTGAAAGACCGGTACGCATGGATCCAACGCGGATTCACTTCAGTGAGATCTTGTGCCTCCAGATCCAAGGTGTTTTGGTGGTCGATCGCTTGATCTTCCTGTGATCCTTGATCCACATACTCCACCTTTAATACTCGTCAGATCCGCGCTTGGGTGGTGTCCTTCATCATCGCAGCAAAATCAATCTCTCGTAACTCATACTAAACCGACGCATAGACCACATAGTCTTCAATGAATCGGCTGTAATAGTTCAAACTTCCCAGAAATGACTGTATGGCCCTAAGTGATCCTGGAAATGCTAGATCAGTCAACACCGACAGGACTTTCGGATTCGCCTCCAGTGAATTGTGGGAGACCTTATGACCGAGATATTCCACTTTAGGTATTCCCCAAAAGCTCTTAACCGCACTGATCGACGGATTCCACTCATCACACACTTCGAGTAAACCCCAACTCGATCACATAGTTGATCCCAGTTATTGGCTGAGACCAGAATGTCGTCGATGTATGATCTACGGCCAAGCATCGATGGCTTGCCCGGACCCACCGGTTCCCCATCCTCAAACACATCCAAAGTACTTCCATAGCCTTCAGATTTCAGGATCCGAGTGAATCCATACAGCACGTTATCGATCATACGTTGATAGAGCTGGGGCGCATTCTTCAAGCCGAAGGGCATCCGATTCCACTCAAAGATCCCAAAGGGAGTAATAAAAGCCGAGATCAAACGAGCACGGTCCGTCATTTTCTCTACCCAGAATCCACTCGCCATATCCAAAGAACAGTACAAGAGTGTCAATTCCCGATCTTCAGTAAGTCGTTGATCAAGGGCATTAGGTAGATCATCAACTGGCTTAGACTGTTAACCAACCGGCACTCGATCACAACCTGATATCCGCTCCATTCTTCTTGATGGTCACCACGATCGGGGAAGCCCATGGTGATATAGAGTAGCTGATCGTTTTGGCAGATAACATACCCTTGATCAAATCCGCAACTTACGTCACTTCAGGGAGATAGTCCTGGCCCCTCCGACATCAATGTCGCTCACAACACCTCGGGCAGCCGGCGGCAGGGCATTACCTTTGCCGATCAAGAGGTACCGGAACTTTCAGATTCTTTGGTGAAGTCGATCAATTTCTTCTGGGGTCTGATTATCAGATCCACATAGCTGGATGTCCTCGATCTTCACATCTTCCGTCGTCACGGGCACTTCAGGCAGTACCACCATCTGACCGTCGACATCTTCCGCGTACAGATCACTTCCTTCATGGTAGTATACACATTCATCCTAATCTCGATCTGGGTCCCAGGTAAGGTCCAGCTCCGATGCGCCTGGTTGATCCTCAACAACAGGTGGTGGATACATGTCCGTTCTCTGTGTCATAGACGCGACGCACGTGTAGTTCCCCGGATCAAAGGCCACATGTCCCGTCCCAGATTGTACACGCATCATTGATAACGGATCTGATCTATCGCATTTCGACGGTGATGTTCCTTGATCCCGACCCCTTGAATGTAGTTGATCCTGGTTGGCAACCCTAGTTCCATCTAGACCTTCTTGTTGCGTCTCCACTGCACTTGAAGTTTCTTCCAACGACGGATCAGTCGCCCACACGTCTGGCGTTACTTGATCGAGATCTTCTAGCGCCTCCTTGATGGTTACGTCATGCGATATAGAGTCTCCATCTGCAATAGACGGTAGATCTGACTCCTCAGTTGCGACAGACGCTAGATCCAACGGTCGAATCTCCAAACCGATTTGTCCGACGGCGACATATCCGACGGTGAGTTGTCCGAAAGCCAGGCAGTCAGGAATATCTTGATCCTGACTCGCCTTGACCTTCTGACACTGGATCGACGTCGTCTTCAGTCTCTGGAGTATTGCGGGCGGGGTTTCGTACTCGGATCACTCCGCCGCGGGTGCGAGCGGGATCTTGATCTCCATATCTTCGGATCGAGTGTCTGTCGTGACTTCCAACGCTAGATTCTGCCACTCCATGTAACGACAGAGCCGATCGAGATGAAACCTGGTATTTGTGGCACATGATCCCCGGCCAGCCAGATCCCGATCCGCTGGTCTTGATGTATGATCAAAACCTCGTCCCCGATGTTGGTGATCGAGATGTACTTCGTTCTCCCTGGCCCATCAGATATGGTGGGCACCCATTGATCCCCACGTGTGACCCACAGCTTGTCGTGGATCGACGATCTCAGGCGTAATGGCAGCTCCACCGACTCTCCTGCTTGGATCCAAAGATATTGGCCGGCATTCACGATCTTCGCTTTGTCGCTATAGCGCTGGCGCGTTCCGCTAAGCTGGATCCAGACTTCATCTGGCAAGCTGACCGATCCATTTAGATCCAGGCGGATCCCGGCTGGGACCATGAAGCCATACCGAGTATAGTTTGTTGGCCAGTCAGATCACCAACCCAGATATGGAAGAAATACATCAATGATCCAGCGAGAGTCACCTTGATCCGGGTTCTTCCTTCTGTCCGATACACATTTTCGCCAATTCCCACGCGATCTGTGGGTTTAAACCATAGACCTGGATCTTGCTGTCTCCAATAACCTCGTGACGCTCCTGGTTGCAGCTCCAGACTCATGGTAACTTCAGATCTGGCATACTCGTCGACCTGGCGAAGACTTGAAATTGCGAAGGTATGTTTCCTATGTAGATCACATGTATTACCGTGTGGATCTGGTCGTTTACTAACCTGATCTACCGCTGGCTTGTTCAGAAATTTGATGCAGTATCTAGAACGCTCGGCTCGCATCAGATTCCACCCCGACAAGCGTCCTAGTTTAACATCTTTTCAGCAGCTTCGGTAACATACTTATGTGCTTCGTGGGGTTGATCCACTGGTGGGTCTGGTTGTAGAACTCTTCCATCGGATATTTTCCCATGTCATGCAACTCTCCACATCTGTGACACACGGAGAGGCAGTGATCCGAGGGGTGGCCTCTCTTGCCGCACTTCGTGTATGTAACACGTCCAGCAACCAAGATCCGAGTGCTTCCGGGATTCACAGTGCCAGCATCGATCGCGGTTAAAACCATTACCGTGGATCTTCGCGTTGTGATCTTGATGGCTATGATCACAGTTTGGGATTCGCGGATCTAGGTCCGCCGACTCCTTTTCCATCTTTGGGGTCACATCTTCGTTCGCTGCAAGGAAGATCCTGCGATGACTGTCGATGTCAGAGTCGGATCCACCCGATCCATCAGATTCGCTGTCGGATCCATAGCCGTTGGCTTGAGTCTGGATCGCACGTACTTGTTTCGCTGGCGCACAGGGGGTCATAATGGTCGTCTTCTGGCGATACTTGTTAGATCAAAACGCAGCTTCTTTCTGATGATTCTTAGAGCGATCCCGAGCGCGAAAGACTTCTTCGAGATCGTCCGCGTCAGTCAACCGTAGCAGGGTTACCCGTTCTTCTAGATCTTGACACGCAAGCGTCTCGATATAATGATACACATTTTTACGTCGATCCTTCGCGCAGCCATCCTTGATCTTCAGTCGCTCACGGAGTCACGCCACGTTGAGCCGATACAAGTAGTCCAGCATCGCGTATGGTAGTATTGATTTGCTACCGATGTTCCAAGCCCAATGTATTGGATGTGGAAGCTGCGTATCAGATCGCTCCATTTGTTGCGAGTAGATCTACTCAGCTGTCGATACCAGTTCTTCGCGGATCCAGCGAAACGATCTGCGAAGGTCAAACACTTTTCATCATCCGATGCTTGATCTCGCATAGCAGACTTGACTTTGCTGATCCACGCTCGCGCTCGATCTTCGTCTTAATCCTTGCCAGTGAACTCCTTGAGTTCCGAGATCGCCGAGATCCGAACACGCTCTACCATGGTGGAGCTTGTGGATCCAGCAGCAGATGTAGCTACTGTGGCTTGTGCAGACGTTGGAAAGTCTACATCGTCTGATCGTACCCCCAGAGCGATCCACGGCCGGGGGATCGAATGTATTCTATCTCAACATCTTGTGATCCTTGATGCTGCAACTGCGTAGTAGCTGGATCTTTGTTCGCCTCCCTTTCTTCGGCCAAGTATCGGTCCATTGCAGCATTGAAGAACTTCTGCAAGGTACCGACCGATCAACCCAAAATCTCAGTGGCTGTGTCTTGATCCGTCGGTGCGGATATATTATCGCGGCGACGGGTTTTAGCTGGACTAGAGCGGCGGATTTTGGATCTCGATGCTCCAGAGGGTCCTAGGTACATCTGTCGCGGTAGCTCCGAGGAAGTGTCGGAGCGGCTGATGCGTAATGTGACGACACTGTCAAGTTATCAACGACGTCGGTCGTGGTCAATGACAGTGGCTCTGGGCTCTGGGGCACTTCGCCTACTAGGATCTTCAACATCTGGAACAGATCGCGACTGGTGGCTTGGATAACATTTGAGATCCAAGTCAAACAGAGCGTCTGCGTTGAAAGGTCTGGGGATCATATCAGCTTCTTTCAACAGCCCGATCAGCTTCATCGCTGCATCATATATGTTGTCCAGTGTGGCGGGAAAAGTCACAGGCTCCTTCGGATCCACGGTCCGCTTGAGCTTCAGGTTCGGCATCACTGGATCCTGTTTCACGAAGTCACGTAGCTCCTTGTGGTGATACATGGACTTCAGATCCTCTTCAAACATGCCAGATCCGTGGTGACCTTCGTCTTTCTCGTCATCTGACGCTTTCACCTTCTTTCGCACAGTCTTGAATCTTGGCTTCCCGACCTCGGATCCAGAGACTTGCGTATATTGGCCGGAAAGGCGCTCAAGCGCCAAGGAGATAAAAATGGTATAGCGCGAGAGAGCTGGGAGATCTAAGAACCCTGAACCGGCTGGGAGAAGTTGGGCGCCCAACGACGCGCGATACAGACGACCTCGTCCTGGAGGTTGAAACGCGCGATCCAGATGACCCAGAACGCGGGACGAGAAAGGTTTTCCCCGTGATCACACGCTCACGAGACGCGTTGAATCCAGCGCCGAGGGAACAACCGGAGCTCTTGAAATATCTCGAGGTTCAACGACTCCGTCTGGATCGAGTCCGTACTGCGCAAGAGGAAGAGTCTTGGATCGCCAATCTCAAGAAGTTCCTAGACGGGGACATCAGTGAAGCGAAGAGCTGCGTCAAGATAGCGGAACCGTACGAAGTGACGGGAGCCGTTTACTGTACTGCCATGTACGTGGGAGCGAGGCCGCAGAAAATCGGGATACGATCATGAAATGGGTCGTTCCAGACACCCTCAGAGAAGACGTGTTGCACCACTACCACGCAAGTCTGGAAGGCGGGGATCAGAGCTTCGGTCGGACATATCACCGGGTACGACAACACTTCCACTGACCAGGGCTGTTCAAGAGCGTATTACGCCACATCGGAGAATGTGTCGACTGTGAGACGGGGAAAGGCTGCCCCACGATTCGAGGATAGTCACTAGGCAATATAGTGGCGACGTACCCGTTCCAAGTCGTGGCGATGGACCATGTCCCATCACTACCCGCGTCGCATGAAGGCATCACGGAACTCTTGATCCCGGTCGACCTCCTTTACGGGTTTCGTGATCGCGAAGGCGAGTGCGTTTCGAACGGCTCAAAACGTCGCGAAATCGTATGAGGAAGCTGACTTCAGACGATTCGGTGCCAGCGAAGCGGTCCGTCACGACCGCGAGCCAGGCGTCATATCAGACTTTTTCAAGGCTTTCAATAAGCAGATGGGACAACGGCAACGCGCGACACTCGCGTACCGTCCGCAAGCAAAACGGGGCGGTAGAACATGACCATTACGACGCCTATCCAGATGTACATTGCCGACATAGACCAACGTGACTGGGACCAATACACGGAGCGACTGACGTACGCGCTTAACACGGCTCACGACCAAACGCGGGACGAACCCCCGTTCTTCCACGTGCACGGATGGAATCCGCGGTCTACGCTGGAAGCGACGCTAGTGGTGGGCAACACATCGCACTGAGATGCAGAAGCTCGACGATGGGGAATGCAGATTCAGCTCCATTACCTCTCAAAGTTGAAGCCCGTCCGCGAGTTCCCGTCGCGACCTGAGCTGGAACTGACAATACCCTCTGGTGATCGTTTCGACTTCGACGAGGAGCTTCTCCCGGAGGATAGCTGGGAGAGGCGCCACTTGGGCGAAGACGTGTATGAGGTGGAACAAATCTTAGACGTGCGCGAAGGACGGGCGACCCGTTACGGGAGTACACGACGCGAGTCCTGTGTGAAGGGGCGTGTATATGAAGAAACGAGCTGGGTCGACGAGTTGGACCTGAACTGCGGAGTACTTCTGTACGACTTTCTACGACAACGCACAGTACGGAGTCCCTTCGGGGTGATGCAGTCCCGCGAGGACTCGTCGGCCGGGGTATGAACGAAGGTGGTGTTACGTCGACGGGGTGGTCGCCGACTGGAGGAACGGAGGAACCAGGCTCTGGGACGGGGAAGATGAGTTGTGGGAAGTAAGAAGGACCGGCTCGTTGGCCGAAGATAGGGCGCAGGAGGGTCGCTCTATAACAAGACACATAGAAGGCTAGAATGAATGGATTCAAGCTTAAGGCCTATCAAAGCCGGACGGCTACGCTACGCCTATGGTAGATTCTGCCCACGTTCGACAAACTTGGCCACATGGCGACGAACGGCATACGCCGGGTGCTCACGCGTCACCGTACAATCCCCGGTTGTGTTAGGCTGAGAGCAAAAGAAGCGACGCCACGGCTCATTCGAGTTGTCCTCGACCAACTCCGCCTCCAGAGTTGAGTTCCGTAGGTCAGGATACCAGCGACCGACATATGAGCGACCGGGAGGAAATATCAACATTATGACGTCGAGTAACACGTATAGATCCGAGTTGCCTGCATGAAAGAGCGGTAGAAGGAGCTGGAACGCACTGTTCAGGTGATCGCCTACGTGCGACCGACGAGAATTCCTGCGACGACGCCATCGTGCCCACGCGGGAGAGTTCGGCACAGGGAGCTCATGGGTGGACTCCCAATAAGCCTGAGCCCAGTGATCCAGATGCGTCTCGTAGCGGGATAGGAATGGCTGAAAACGCGGATCGCATGCATCGAACATGAGAGGCTGGACGCGCCGCGATAGATAATCCCACGGTCGAGTCGTGTAGAGATCGTTTACCGCCCTCCCGGTCAGCAGGGTCGGTCTCCACGATTCTGGGGCCGGAGGAGGCGTGGTCGGAAAGATCCAGACCCGCGGCGGCAGGTGCGTCACACGTAGGGCACGAGCCGTGATGGACGGTAGCGTAATAGCCCTCTTGGCGCAAGGCCAAGGTGTATGGCGGGACCGAGTCCAGTCAGTCGGGTCTGAGAACGGACGAATCGCTGGGGCGAAGGTAGGTCGCGTTGTTGAAGTAGACATCGTCGGTGTAGTCGTCGCAACGATCGCCGAAGCCCCTTCGCCACTAGTAGTCGGCCCGTCGTCCGCGTCGGAGGGGTCGCTACTGGAGAATAGGTGATTACCACCGGACGGGGTGGCTCCATCACCTGAGGCGCGTGGATCCGCGACGTCATCCGGTGAGCCAGAGGACTTCGGATCCGAGGGCGGCGACACCCGACGAAGCTGACGAGCTGGTCGACGCTCGGCCGAGGCCTCACTCGAAGAGTGTGGAGAAATTGGGCGACGACGCGAGCCAAGATTTGAGTCGGCGACGGGAGACGAGTGAGCCTGGGAGGATGAAGCAGCACTGTCCGTCGCGGCCGTAGCTGCGACGTTTGAGGAGCGACGAGTCCGCCTCAACCCGGACGCACCGGCGTTTTTACTACTGTCACCACGATGCGAGAGAATGGACCCACCGGGACCGGAGGTACGCCCCGCAAAAATGAGGGCGCCGACGGGGTGGTCGAGCTCGTCGAAGAATATGTAGGCGGGGTTGGCGGTGACGAGACCAGAGTGTATACACCAGCCGACGACGCTGGGTACGTGATAGAGGAGCTGTATGGTGTCGTCGAAGACGCGCCAGTTGATGACGACGAATGCGTGGCTTTGGGGCTCTCCTTCGTAGCCGAGGACGCGCCAGACGACGACGCCGAAGGTGTAGCCGCGGAGCCACTCTGGGCGGCCACAAAAGCGCCAGCCGAAAAGGCAGGCATCGACGAGTGCGAAGTTCCTCTGCCCAAAGCCGCAGCCAACGACGGGAGCCCAGAAAGCGTGGCCGCCGTCCGACTAATAGCGGGGTTGAGATGGAGCGGGAGCGGAACTGCTGCGGTAACGGCAGCCTCCACGAAACTCTCCAAGGTACGAACCAGCGAGGGGATGTGGAGCGATCCACCCGCGGCGTTCACTATCGCACGTAAGACGTGCGACGAGGGCGTCCCGAACGTGACGCACCGTCTCCCGTCCGAGGCGGGTCCCTCGTAGGAGACGCCGCCAGATCATGTGCGTTCGGTACAGGACCGATCCGAGCAGTCGATCAGTCCCTCCAAGCGTGCAATCTCAGCGCGTGAATCGCGTCGACTTTGTGAGCGTTCGTTCTCTAGCCCTAACATGCGGCCATTAAGAGCTGTCATCTAGGACACGATAGAATTCTCACGTTCGGGTTGGTTCTTATCAACAACGCACACTTCCCCACAAAGGTTAGTGGATTGTTGGATCAATACCTGAAAACCAGGAACGATCCCTTACACCGGGTTGGACGAGCCTCTGTGTACCCCGGGGTACCTTCGGTCAACCCTTAAGAAACCAAGCCACTAACGAGGACTACGAAGCATATTTAGCGCTCTCGCGCACACCCACTGCAGTCCCTCAGAATAAGGGTACCGGTTTTCGCAAACCTAGTACAGGGGCACCGAGGGGATCCTCGGTAGGAGGTCTAGTGTGTGTGAGAACCCTATCTCTACACAAATACACACTGAACGAGCTTTCGCTTACGTTCTATACACGGCCACACGCTCCTCTTGGGCTTACCTAGTAGACAGACCCTTGGTTCAATGTACTTCGGGTCTATCAACAGGCATCCACACAACTAGGCGTATCTTGCCCTTAGATAAGCTAGGTAGATTTACCGAAGACGGACTTGACCCTTGTTAGCTGTGGAGGAGAACTGCTTTTTATTACTATTTAATGTGAGGCTATCAGAGCCAGGAGTACCCTCCCTGACACCAACTCCCACGCCGGCGGTGGACTGGGCAACTCGCGGGGTGTCAGGCGAGGGCAATGCTTTTCCGAGCGGTTCGGTCGAGTCTCGTGGGGGCGCCACCGAACTTTCGATGTCATTGCGTGATCTTGCGAAGCTCGTTGTGGGGATCGTCCGTCAGTCTCCACTACGCGTGGATTCTCACTTCGACCAGCGTTTGGATAACATATCTACGGTCTCTAAGAATTTGGCGGCGGTCGTCGCGCCTAATCAACTCCCGCAGCATGAGGCCGAGGAGCTGCCTGAGCTGAGAGAGGAGGTCTCTCGTCTTCTGACCCGCTGTGAGAACGCAGAGCGAGACTTCGTTAGTAAGACTCAGCTTCGGACGTCGGCTGAGGCTGCCTTGGTCCACGCGAACGATGATTTTTACTCGGTCCGTGACTCCAGCCAAGTTCTCCGTGCCGAAAATGAGGACCTGGTCGACCGTGTTCGCGATCAAGACATAGCGGTGGCGGAACAGGCTCACGCCATACAGAGTCTGAAAGATCGCTGCCGTTCGTCTGAGGCCGATTGTGCAGTAATCATGCGTTACGTCGACCAAGGGCGCGAACGCATGAAGGCCGGTCTCGTGGTTTACAAAGCGAAGCTCTCCAAGCTTCACCAGTACTTGGACGAGCACAGCCGGAAGCTATCCAAGCTTCGCCAGTACTTGGACGAGCACAGCCGAGGGAAGGTTAGTTCACCTTCACCGCGTACCAAGGCTCTGTTGACAGAGAATGCCCGTCTTCGGCCGGCGAATTCAGTCCTTCGTCGCAACTCGGCTGAGCATGGGTTAAATACAGATGCTCTGGTGCTCACCGCTGCTGGCATGCCCGCGTCGGGGATAGATTGGAGCTCCTCGGCTTAGGACCCGACCACACCGTCTTCTTCACCTTCTCCCACCGAGTTCTACTTGCGAGCTCTCGGACGACGGAGGTTCCAACGCTCGCCTTACCGCGACCTCGTCCGCTTCTTCTGAGGCATCGTCTGGGTCTGGGGTTTCTGCAGACGAGTCCTCTAAGCACTCGTTCATCCGGCCCACGGCTAATCCTCCCTCTCTCATAGCCCCAGCACCAGAAACACTGTCCGCTGGAAGCAGCGGGGTTTGTTTGACGACGCACCACTAAGTGATCTCGCCTCAAACGTCGGCGCATCCGACAATATGCCTCGGAACAGACGTCTACGTCGGAGGCCTCCAAGCTCCCTGCATCTCGAAGGCTCGGTCGTCCCTCGGTGTACTCGAGGAAGAAGACACAGCCGACAGCTGTGACACCGAAAGCGCGTTCAGGTCACAAGAAGACTCGGCCACTTCTGATTCTTCGGTCGACATTTCGCCACCGGCTAAGAAGGTCTGCTCACCTCCTGCACCAACTCTCACTGATGAATGCATTGACAACGATATGGGAGGTGAGGCTGCGGCCGAGGCCTCCAACGAGGAGGCTAAATCTGGCACAGGGTTGAACCTACCTGTTGTCGCTGATGTTCCGATCCCGTCGTCGGCTGTGGAGGTCTTGGACCTAACAGCTGATGATGTTGTCACTCCGCCAAACGGGAAAGCCTCAAGCCCATTCTCGTCTCCTGTGGTTTCGTTCTTCCCTCGCAAGGATGAACGTCCTCTGAGAAGCACTTCCGTTGCATCTGAGTTCAGGATGCGGGGGAACTTGGAGAAGGAGTTGGCCGATGATGACTTTATACTGGGTCTCACCAACGAGGGCTCGGCTGCCCAAGTCACGGGACCCGTGCATGGTCGGTATCGCAAGTTGCCGAGACCTAGTTCACTGCTTGCGGCAAATCTCGTTTTCTTCCGCTTCCTCCAGCTGCGACCCCCGCACCGG